AAAATAAAGTTAGAATCGGTGAACGCAGGGAGCTAATGCCCCGCCGATGACACTTCCCTTGGACAGCGCAGTAGGATATCTATATATGTTCTAGATCATTTGGTGGCAGGCGGGCGACGGGGACCGGGAGGAAAAGTGGGTGAGGGGGGGATGAGCGGTGCGGACGGTTCGCCTCCCACCACTGCTCACACTCCCCCTCATCCCACTTTTCCTCCGGTCCCCGTCGCCCGCCTGCCAGCAAATGATCCAGAACATATAATGCCCCGTCTCTGCTCTTGCCACCAAGTGATCTAGAATATATGATGCTACACGTCACCCGCGCACCCACTTACCACACGATGATCTAGAATATATATATGTTTTGTGTATCATGTGTGATCGAGGGGTGATCGGAAAGGTCGAACTAATCAACGAGCTCGATTGGTCCCACTTTTTCACCCATCGCCCAGCCCCACCATCATCACTCCCCTTATCCACTTTTCCCTAACAATAAGTTACCGAAGGCGCATGCTGTACGCATGTAAGCTTACGTAAGATTTTTACTTTTTTTACGACGACCCACGTTTCCCCCTGTGAGCGAGGGGGTGAGCGCTGCGGAAGCGAATCAATCAGTGAGTTCGAGTCGCCTCCCACCACCATCACTCTGTAGTCTATTGGAATAACGTGGAGACGCGTGCTGCACGATTGAAAACTTATACAAGACTGACACTTTTTATGAGGAAAGTCACGTTCGTGGCGATCGCGCACGTTCCCCTCTCCTCTCCTATGATTTATGATGTAAGCTCTTTCACAGTTATACATAGGATATTTATAACAGAAAATAGAAGCAATATCGATTAATGTGTTTTTTATTTTAATATTCTTACAAATATATTGAAAACTGATTTCATCATCATATCCTACGGTTTATAATGCAAGCTTTCACAGTTATACGTAGGATATTTGTGTAATATAACAAAGAAGCAATATCGAATAATATATTTTTTATTTTAATATTTTACAAATCTCTGTTTATTTGCAAAAGCATATGTATACATAACGGAAAGAATACAAATTATAAAATAAATAAAGAAGTAGTGAATGGTACATATAAAATGTTATTGTATTTTGTTCTGTTCTTGTTCCCACCAATTAAATAATTTTAATACATTTTGTAATGCGCAATGTTTTACGTGTCTTCCACATCGAAATGTGTTATTAGAATCGAGATTTTTAAGAGATTGAATATTTTCATAATGTGTATCGATGGATTCGCTCACAATGTAGTCGTTAGTTAAAATATCATTTAACCACTTGCGTTTTTCCAACCCCTTCACA